CCCTTTTAAATCTTTCCCCTCAAACCCTCCAGTTTTGGACTCTGCTACCCTGGGGAAAAGACCTTGGCTATTCACTTTATCTCTGACCCTCATGATTTTATAAACATCTATAAAAGGTCACCGCTCAGCCTCCGACATTCCAAGGAAAATAGCCCCAGTCTATTCAGCCTCTCCCTGCAGCTCAAACCTTCCAACTCTGGCAACATCCTTGTAAATCTTTTCTGAACCTTTTCAAGTTTCACAACATCCTTCCTGTAGCAGGGAGACCAGATTGAATGCAATATTCCAAAAGTGGCCTAACCAATGTCCTGTACAGCCGCAACATGACCTCCCAACCCCTTTACTCAATGCACTGACCTATAAAGGCAAGCATACCAAATGCCTTCTTCACTATCCGGTCAACCTGCAACTCTGCTTTCAAGGAACTATGAAGCTGCACTCTAATGTCGATAGATTACAGTTTAAGTGATGTGCACTCCTGACAATGGGAGTAACTTAATTTAAAGTTACACCAGCAAATAAGGGAACACAAGACATTAAATATTGGGCAAATTTTATTTTACAGTACATTAAAACCAAAGCTATGTAAACATTGGATTCTCACAGTGTGATCACTTACCCCTTCAGGATGTTTGAAGTGGAGTCCTGAAGTTTCAACACTCTACAGAGATCCAGGGATTTCTTGCTGGCTCTGACTAGTCACAAAAATGGTATTGTTTCCCCAAAGCTAGGACTGACCAAAGCCAACCCAAGGTGGTAAATCCTACAAGATGCACAGGGCAATTTCCTGTTTACAAATAGCAGTATTTGTATCCAGCAGCTGAAGATTTTGGTAAACCTGTTGTTTCTGCCTGTCCACAACCAAAAAAGGTGGATTTTTGTTTCTTTCCACCTTTAGGAAGGGTTACAAGAGAAAAGTTTCATTTATGTTTTCTCTCAGTTCAGAGCACAGAGGGTTTTTAACTCTCCCTTTCCAACTGTCAGCTCCAGAACACAAGGCCTATCATTTCCTTCTCCTGTACTCACCATCTGAAGCCAAGTAAACAAGGTCCTTTCTCTTTCTCAGTAGCAGTTAACAGGGTCTGCTGTCTGTCTGTCTGTCCCTGTATACAGATCTTTTTCTCTCCCTCACACTCTATACAAACAGTCTGGCCCTGGTCTCTATCTCTCTTATACACTCTCAGCATACAGGGTATAGGCAATCTAGCTCTCTCCCACTCCCAGTATAGTTTTTCTTTTTATTTTCCGTCCCAACATACAGGGTCTAGTCTTTCCCTCCCTTTATACAGGATCTTAGTCTCTCTCTGTCTCTCACACATACACATAGGTCTCATCTGTCTTCCTTTCTCTCATTCCCACAGCATTGAATATCTAGTTGTCTCCCTCCAGGTATACATAATCTCAATTTTCCCTCTCTTTCAGCATACAGGATCAAGTTGCTTTCTCTTTTGTTCCTCTCTCAATTCCACCCTACAGAGACAAGTCTCTCTCTCACTTTCAGTATCTCTCTTTTTCTCTCTCACTACACAGGACCCAGTCTCTCAGCTTCACCCCAATTCCAACTGTACAGATTCCAATCTATCTCTCTCTCACTCTTTTTTCCAGCTTATGAAATCCAAACCCTCTTTTTTTCTCATTCTCTCCCTTACTAAACAAGGTCCCAGCGTACAGGATCTGGTCTCGCTCCCTGCCTAACTTCCAGTTACACACGCGTCATCACCCTCTCTCCCTGGAACTATAGAGTGCTGGCTCAGTCAAACTCTCTGTCTCACCCCCAAATCCGAGTCTAGATCTCTCTACTGTCAACCCCAGCAAAAAAAAAACCTTGATCTGTCTGTCTTTCTCTCTCTATCAAACTCCCAGCACAAGGGATTTGCTCTCCCTCTCTCTAACTCCTAATGTACAGAGACTTTTTCCTCTGCCTGGAATATAGAAACTATCTGAGCATTCCCTTCAATCACACTCAGCAGAGCGGGTCTGCCTTTCCCTAACTCGCCATCACTGCCTGTTAACCCTCTCTGTGCTCCTCCAGCTCCACCACTTCCGCCTCCAAAGGGATTTTAAATCTGCCGCGCTGACACTGTTACATTATCAGCCAATGGCGTCTCCGCTTCCGGGAGCAGCCAATCACAGGCCGCAGCCGGCGTGAGGGGGAGGCGGGGGGGCGCGCTGACCCGCCTCCCGCCCCCGCCCATTGGCCATTTCAGGTCGGGCTGCCTGATTGGATCAGCGGACTGTCAATCAAGCCCACGGCCCTTGCGGGCTGCGCTGGGTCCTAGAGTCTGCCTTTGAAAATGCAATGGGAGATCGGTTTGGGTTTTCCTCCTGTTACACCCTCTCGATAAATCCAGTCCTTTAGGATACGTTGTAGACCACCAGTGTTGCAGGTCTGAAAGCAAGCATGCCAACGGTGCGTTTGAAGGAGCAGTTCAAAAGAGGACATTTGGCCCATCCAAACAGTCCCCTACAGTGTGCAAACAGGCCATTCAGCCCAACGAGCATCCCACCCGTACCCAGCCTCTACACAATCCCGGCAACCCTGCATTTCCCACAGCTAATCCACCTAACCTGCATATCCCTGGACACTATGTGCAATCCTACACATCTTTGGACTGGGAGAAGGAAACCCGCACAGATGTGGGGAGAATGTGCAAATTCCACACAGATAGTTGCCTGAGGCTGGAATCGAACCCAGGTCCTCTGGTACTGTGAGGCAGCGGTGCTAACCACTGAGCCACTATGCCATCCCATTGTGTCTGTACCAATTCCCATTAACAGCTACACAACTGATATGAGCCCTGACTCTTCCCTGTAGCAAAATGTTTTCTTTTCAGGTAATGAGATTCCCTTCTGAATCAGCTTTCCCAGACCCCCATACATCCCAGATCCACGAGCCCTGCAAAGAAACGTTTTCTCCTTGTTACATTTGGGTTCCCTTGCCACAGACTTTATATCAGCAATTTCTGTTTCCTGAACCTTTAACCAATAAAATCAGTTTCTCCCAACTTGTCCAGATTTTTGAACATCCCCAACAAATCATCCCCTCAACCAACAATAGATCCGACCACTTTAATCTACCCATGGCAGTTGGTGGAATTTAAAGTGAAAGTTATAAGACTTGGAATGAATATCTTAGGCTTAGTAACGGCAGTTCAAAACAATAATTGATTTTATTTTTCAAAACCCAGGTCATTCAATAATATCCTTTACGGAAGGAAATCTGCTGTGCTTATGTGCTGTTGTCTACATAAGACTCCAGACACACAGCAGTGCAGTTCTCCTCTGAAATGACCTAGAAAGCCACTTAGTTCAAGACCCATTAAAGATGGGCAACAAATGCTGGCTCTGCCAGCAACGCCCACAAGAATTTTTTAAAATATCAGCGCAGCTGAAATTACTCATCCCCCGAACCATTCCAATGTATCTTTTCTGCACCCTTTCATAGGGTCTGTTTCCTTGCTCTGTGACTCTTCGGTCCAGCCAGTCCATGCTGAACATAATCCCAAACTAAATTAGTCCCATTTCTAATTTCTTCATGTCCTTCTTAAAGTGCGATTTTTGACTAAGTGCTTTGGGTCTACCACAATGAATGAACTATTCCAAACAAAAAAATTACCGTTAATACAGGCAGAATATTTGTTCTTATGCAAAGTTCCATTGACACAAGATTCATTGAAGTTTCAGAGCAGGCTGATGTAGCGTCCAGTTGGTGCCATACACATTTGCCAAAGCCTGCACGGACAGTGCATGCTATCAGTTTGCTGTTTAAAAATGTCTAAAATATATTCTGAACACCAAAAGTCCTTTCTTAAAAAAATATAAGCGGACGGTAGTTTGTGAGTAAAACACTTTCAATGCAAGCGACATCACAAGATTCTTCTAATTGTAACAAAAAAGGATCCCTGAACAAGAATTAGAGAGATTTGGTAGGGTGAGGGAATCTTGGTGGCAGATTTGAAAGGTTTTTAAATGTAGAGAGAGAGATAGTTCAGTAAATTTATTTCTTATTTACTGCACTATACTGAGAAGAACTGCGATGTTGAACTTTTCACTTATTCCTTTATTTTTCTACTTCTTACCAAAGATTTTGTACCTAAGATGGCGCTGCGAATGGCAACGTTGTAAACTTTTCACTGTACTTCTGTATCCTTCCACTTGAGTACATGTGACAATAAAACCGAATCCCGAATGCTCTGTTACATACCTTGGGACAAGAATGGGGCTGTTGGAGATTATAGGGATTGGTGGAAAAATACAATGAAGGAATTTATGGATGAGTTCCAGGATGTTTAATGTGAAGATCAGTGTGATCACCAAGCAGAATTTTAACACAGGAAAGAGCACATGTGAAGACATGGACCATTTGAAGTCTCTGGAAGCTGGTACAACACCATGTAAAGAAAATGCTGGAAATATCCAGTAAGTCCAGCAGCACAGATGGAGTCATAGTCATAGAGTCATACAGCACAGAAACAGACCCTTCGGTCCAACCAGTCCATGCGGAACATAATCCCAAACTAAACTAGTCCGCTTACCTGCTCCTGGCCCATATCCCTCCAAACCTTTCCTATTTGTATACTTATCCAAAAGTCTTTTAAAAGCTGTAACTGTACCCCCATCCACAACTTCCTCAGGAAGTTCATTCCACACGTGAACCACCCTCTGCGTAAAAAAGAGTTTCCGCTCACATATTTTCTTTTGGTTGATGACTTTTCATCTCTGATTCATCCCCGGAATTGAACCTAATGGTACATCTGTGTTTGGATGGGGTGGAGAGCTGCTCAAGAAATTGCACCTTTGAATTAGAGTGTAGTGGATGTTGTTTATTGTTCTGAAAGGGTTAATGCTCTATAATGCCACAAGGTGAAAAACAGAGGTTGTGAACGCAGCCCAGTCCATCACACAAACTAGCCTTCCATCCATTGACTCCATCTATACTTCACACTGCCTCGGAAAAGCAACTGACAGCACCAAAGACCCCTCCCACCCCAGTTATAACCTCTTCCACCCTCTTCCATCGGGCAGAACATACAAAAGTTTGGGAACACATACCAACAGATTCAAGAACAGCTTCTTCCCCGCTGTTATCAGATTCATGAACAGACCTCTCATTTATTTATATAATTTCTTTTTTATTCCTTTTGTAATGCAAGTGGAAAGACTATACATTCACCTGTATGGTGTGTGTCAGCAATCATCAGCTACCTCATCTGAAGAAGATTCAACCTCAGACTTCTCTAATTTCAATCTAACGTTGATCTGGCTTTGTGCACCTCCTGTGCAGTTGTAACCTGTATGCCTCGCTCTGTCTAAGCACCCTATGATCTGTATGTCCTTATTTGCTATGATCTGCCTGTGCTGCTCGCAAACCACAACTTTTCACTGTACTTAGGCACATGTGACAACAATATATCAAATCAAATCAATCAGGAGACAACGAGGAGGAATAAACAGGCCTTTTTCCAAGTGACAGGCAGCAACCTGTGGGACACCTCAAAGGATCAATGCTTGAAGCCAGCTATTCACAAAATAAATAAATAACCCGGGTGAAGAAGCCAAAAGCAACATTTCCAATAACTCAAAGCTGGGTGGGATTGAGAGCTGTGAGGAGGAAGCAAGGAGGCTTAAAGATGATTTAGATAAGTGGAGCGAGTGGACAAACACATGGCAGATACAGTACATGTGTAAACGTGAAGCATTACACTTTGGAGTGTAAAATGCAATGGAGGCATATGATTTAAAAGATGATCTACTGGGAAGTGTGGATGTACAAAGGGATCTGGGTGACCTTGTACATCAGTCAATGAAAGTAGACAGGCAGCTGCAGCAAGCAATCAGTAAGGCAAATGGTAAACTGGCTTTGATTGAGGGGGAATCGAGTTCAGAAGCAGGGATGCCTTAGTGCACTTATACAGGGCATTGTTGAGCCCGCACTTGGAGTATTGTGTACAGTTTTGGTTGAAGAAGGGATATATTTGCCATAGAGGAAGTGCAGCAAAGTTTCACTAGGCTGATACTGAGGATGGCAAGACTATCCTATGAGGAGAAACCTGTTTAAATTGAGTCTACATTCACTAAAGTTTAGATCATTGAGAGGCGATTTGATTGAAATGTATAAAAATCTAACAGGCTCAATCCAAAATGGATATTTTCCCTGGTTAGGGAGTCTGAAACTGTGGATACAGTCTCAAGGTATGGCTATTTTTAAAAATTATTCATGGGACGAGGGTATAATTGGCTAGGCCAGCATTTATTGCCCATCCCTAATTGCCCAGAGGGCAGTTAAGAGTCAACCACATTGCTGCAGGTCTAGAGTCACATGTAGGCCAGACCAGGTAAGGATGGCAGTTTCCTTCCCTAGAGGACATTAGTAAATCAGATGGGTTTTTCCAACAATTGCCTCATGGCCATCATTAGACTCTTAATCCCAGATTTTTATTGAATGTTCTACCTTCAAACCCAGGTACGCAGAATATTACATGGGTTTCTGGATTAACGGTCCAGTGATAATACCTTTGTCCTCTTGAGGACTGAGATGAAGAATGAACCTGTGCCTTGACCACGGAAGGCTATGGAAGACAAGAAATTAAAAATATGCAAGAAAGAGATTGATTAACTTTTAGATTTTAAAGGAATCAATGAGTAGGGGGAGAAAGTTGGAATATGGAATTGAGGGAGAGGATCAGCCATGATCAAATTGATTGGTGAAACATGCTCGAAGGGCCAAGTGGCCTGCTTCTCTCCTCGTTTCTTATGTTTCACATCCTGCAGGCGGGCAAAACAATGAAGAGGAAGAAACAAAATATAATTTTGAAAAAAGACATGTTATAAAGCGAACGTTGACCCCGCTCTGAGAACTAAAACCAAAACACCCAAAGAGAGCACCTCGCCCTATAATCTGTAAAAGGAGTGTGAAAAGTGGTGTAACCTTCCTTTCAGCAACTCCTAGTGGTTAAGTAAAACAAATCCCTGACACTCACTTTACAATCCACAAGAAACAATTTATGTATCTAACTCTAACAGTGAACAAATTAACTAAACCATTAATGAACTGAATAAATCCCTTCTAACCACTGACTATTCCTGAATATAGCAAGATTCTAATGGTATACTATTCCAATAAATACAAGTCCCACTTATACAAAAAATATAGAATTTAGCCTCTCGAAATTATAGCCAGGTTACTTGTCTTCCAGAATGTTCTGTGCCTTCTCTGTCCATTCTTCTGTTAGGAATGTTAACTAGTTGTGCCTTTGGTGCCATTGTTATTTAGATGGTGCTTTCTCTAAGACATAGAGGAGGCTGTGAGAGCCAGTGATTCTCTCTCCCAAGCTGAGGGCCATTAGCTCTGGCGGATGGCAGCTAGCTCAATGTCTTTGTCCAACTGCCCCCTTCTTTTTATACCCTTGGTGACATACCAATATTTCCTACAATAGGATTGGTCTTATGTTGTCATAACCATCAGACTTAAGTTTAATAGGTTCTTGGTGTCTGATTACCTGGTTCAAATTGATTGGCTAAATTCAAAAACCTGTTGTCTTGGTAAAAACTGCTGTTTGGCCTGCTAACTGTACAGCCTTTCAATACAAACATTCCAATTTGGGTGCTCTCTGTGTACTTGCAAACTTTCAAGCTGCTGCTCACAGACATCCATGTTGAATCTCTAAGCACATAAAAAGCACATGATTTTTTAAAGGGACCACGCAATTCTTTCCCCCCTTGCATTTCACAAACACCAAATTCTAACTTCCGGTCTCCCAAATCACAGGTACTCTACCCAACTTCGCAACAGACAGGAAAGTTGAGAAACAAGTAGAGATGTGATAGTAGTCTCAAAGAAAGCGATAGACACAGTAATTGTCATAGAACCATGGTCAGCTAATTATACTTGGCCAAATTACTGTGAACACCTTGAATTCTTCATGATGAATAAAAGATTTAATAATATGTATGGACACTTTAAAAAATATTTACTGCATTTACCTCTGATAGAAACATTAATCTCAATCATTCCCCACTTTCCACGTGTTTTCTCTGTTCTAGTTTCGTTGAACCACAAGAAGAGCGGTTGTGATCTGTACTGCCAAATAAAGGTGTTCCATTGCAAAATAATTTTTTGGTCTTGCATTGACTTATGGTTATGGCATACTATTTTGATCTGATTAATCCTTGGCATGAGACTGGATAAACTCAGGGAGCTGCAATATATTGTAGAGTCTTTTCGTTTAGTGTTTGTGCTGTCTTAACTTTCTAAATAAGGAAACTCTGAAACATAATTAACACAAATGCAGAAGGAAATGTCACCAAATGACTGTTGTATTAGATTTTTGGTTCTGAAAGAGTTAAAGTTCAGGAGTGCATTAAGCTCCACCCAGTGTGATAATGTCATGCGGGCTTGTTGGGGAGAACAGCTATGGATCTTGAAGGAGGAAGTCTTACCATCTCGACCTCCTCATATTCTTAGTGACAACGTCGTTCATATCAATGTAACTTGTACATTATTGCTCTTGTGCAATAGACTGCAACTTGTTTAAGACAAGAGGCCGTTCCCATTAACTGGTCCTGTGGTTTTTCTCAACCACACCAGACAAGGCAAGTGCCATAGATCCCAACCTAAAAGAAGGATGGTGGCAGCAAATCCACCTTATGGTGAACAAGAGTGCAGCTAACTCTTAGAACACAGCGAGAAATGTGAGCGTTCATCATACAACATGGTGCTAGCAGTGGACATCATTTCATCTTTCAACAGTGACAGCATAAACTAATAAAGAGTTTAGTGAAAATGAAAAAGGAGCTTGAAAATAAACAAAAAAGATTCTCAAGGGAATCTCAAATGGAAAAATGATTATTTCAATATATGGTTATGGGTGGCATGGTGGCTCAGTGGTTAGCACTGCTGCCTCACAGCGCCAGTGACCCACATTTGATCCCACCCTCGGGCGACTGTCTGTGTGGAGTTCGCACATTCTCCCCATGTCTGCGTGGTTTTCCTCTGGGTGCTCCGGTTTCCTCCCACAGTCCAAAGATGTGCAGGTCCGGGTGGAATGCCCATGCTAAATTGCCCCCATAGTGTCCAGGGATGTGTAGGCCAGGCAGATTAGCCATGGGGAATGCAGGGTTACAGGGATAGTATGGGGGGTGGTGAGTATGGATGGGTGCTCTTTGGAGGGTTGGTGCAGACTTGATGGGCTGAATGGCCTGCTTCTACACTGCAGGGATTCTATGACCCCTGCTCCAAAACCACATGATGAGGTATAAAATAAGGTGTCATTCTTAGAATAAAATGTGGGGAAAGCCTCTTCACTTTCCGGAGTTGATCAAAATGGGTCAAAGTCATTCTGATATTGTTTTTGATCATTTAACACAGTTGGTTTCCTTTTGAATGAGGTGATCTCTGTTCCAGCCAGAAATAGGTCCAGTTCTCACTTGAAAAAGTGCAATGAATTACTGTCCATTGCACAAGTTAGCAATTTGTGTCAGAGGCTCATTGTTCTCAGGAGGAATAAGAATACTCCTCCGGACATTCAAAGCATGTTTGAACAAGTACAATTTAATATCATGACCCAGACCTACTTAACTTCTTTAATCCAAACACTGTCTACTTAAGACAGCCTATTGTCTTTATTGTGTTATAGATCTCAAACAAATCGCCCTTAAGTCTACACTATAGCATACAGTCCCAGCTCTTTAACCTACCTTGATAAACAGTCTGAGAATTAATCTGGTCCTCTTCAGCTGACTTTCCAAATCCCTATATCATCATGATATAAAGGCCCCTAAACTGGACTTTGTGTGATCTGAATGAGACCTGGTTTGTAATAACAAAAATATAAATTGCTGGAAAAACACAGCAGGTCTGGCAGCGTCTGTAGAGAGAAATCAGAGCTAATGTTTCAGGTCCAGCCACTCTTCCTTGGATTTTGTTAGCAATATTTGCCATGGTCTTCTAGTCAATTGTCCTATCAAAACACACCAATTCCATGTTGTCTCTAGTTACTGTTTTACTGTATTGAGTCATAAACCTACTAGTAGACCCCAAAATTTATTTAATTTACAGCAATCATATTATACTTTAGAAAAATAGACAGCTGAGTTAAATGACACCTTGAGATTACAGAATGGTTTGAAATTCCTTCAAAAACAATAGAAAACCCTCTGAATTTCCCCAAAATGTATCACATTGTCAAAAACAAGGCTTCAATATTACCCTCCATGACAGACAGGGATGTACTGGGACAGTTAAAAATAATTAACTATTCGGATGAAGTAACAAGGGTGACCGGGGCAATCATTTGAAAAAGAATCGTGAGAAGAGACAAAATGGCAGCGCTCCAGTAAGAGAAAATAGTTTGACACTCAGGACAATTAGCTGGAATGAGATAAGAGAGCTGGACCAAAGTTAATTAAGTATTGAAACATATTTAACATTATTATATGGTTACTGATTAGTAGTTGCTTCTCCTGATCTTGTTTGCTGGTAACCATTGTCATTCACTAAACTTGCAATGACTACATCAAACAGTGACTCATTCTTTCCTCGTAGATTATATATCTTAGTCTTACCAGCTTTAAGGAAAACAACCCCAACGTGTCCAGCCCATCTCTCTTACTGTAATCAATCAACCATGGAAATGCTCTATTAACTCTCTCTCTACCGTCCCCATAGTCTTCACTGCCTTTTTGATTGATGGTGATGGGAATGGACACAATACTCCATATGGGGTCAAACTGGCATGTAGGTTTAGTGTAAGAACTTGGTTTATATATTCTACGTCACCATTGGCAAAGCCATGAATCCAACTTACATTATTAGCTACTTTGTTAACTTGGCATACCACCTTAGCAATTTGCCCACAAGCAGCACCATGTTTCTATTTTCTTGTAAAATTATACTCGTTAGCTTGAATTCTCTCTCTTCTGTGGTTGGAGCACAGCAAGATTTAAAAAAAACACTGCCAATTTTTTAAAAATCTGAAAAAGCTGGAAGCACTCAGCAGGTCTCACAGCATCTGTGGAGAGAGAAACAGAGGATTAACGTCTCAGATTGAACATAGCATTTCTTCAAACAAAGTTACTGTGCTGAAATGTAAAACAAAAGACTCATCAAAAAGTCCGCCACTTCTAAACTATCTCGCATCACGTCTCCCCTCATCCATTATCCTGTCCTTCCCCAACTATAGATAGCAGGAACTGCGGATGCTGGAGAATCCGAGACA